AGATAGATAGATAGATAGATAGATAGATAGAGGTATTCATCCATCCATCCATCCATCCATCCATCCATCCATCCATCCATCCATCCAAGACAGAAAAAATGGGCACCAGAACACAGTGACCAAGAAATAAATCCCCGGCTGAGAAAAAGACCAACAGAGCATGATCTGTTTCTGTTTTAAGGTATCAAACTATAACCTTCAACATCTTCCATTCAGGGCCATCAAGGTCCTTGCCATCCCAACCGCTTATACACCTTCACTGGTGAGGCAAGATCTTGAGGGTCTGGCATCTATTTCACACCAACCCAGGACAACTTAAAATATAGTATTTTTCCTTATTTTTAGATACGCTTAGGAAGCCTCAGTCTGTATTCTTTGACAAGGATAACTTGTTCTCTTCTTAGAATCTTGTTAAAATCGAGCATCTGTTCAGCAGGGCTCCACTGTTTGCATCTCCTAAAGCTTTCAGCTTTAAATAAAGATTTCATTGTGCATTACCAGCCAGACCACATCATGCTAAGAGGGCCGTTTCCCAAACCCTCCAAGAATGATCACAATGCTAGATTTTACATTTACATTTCTAGTTTTCCCTCTTGCAGGCTTCATAATTTATTTCTCTAAAAGTGTAACCCTACCTTGTACCATCTTACACCTTAAAGAATCCACAGTCAGTTCAAGATTTTTAAATAACAGAAGGGGAAAAGAGACAGAAATGAAACGCAAGCGTGGCAGCCACAGAGTGAAACAATTTGGGGAAAGACAGGAGAGTCCACAGGGTGTGGTCAAGGAAGTTGAGATGGAGGCCACAAGAGTGCAACTGAAGCTCCACCATTTTTTTATGCCATTGATTGTGCCACTGCAGCCACCATCTTGACTTTTTTGACCCCATTCTGCAGATACCCCTGGGAAAGGGAGGGGGAGAGCAGAGATAGCTTGCACCCCCATTTCTTCCTCTAAAAGTCTCAAGTGGCATTTAGGGAAAATGCAGTACAGACTTGTGGGCCTGGAAGGTGGTAGAATAAAAAGAAGGATTTTAGAGCCAGCTGCTTCCTAATTGATTAGCCTTCTGTGGATAGTGGGTTTTTGGATAGAGAAACTACAACATGTGCATTTTCCTCTATTAGCAGACCAATGCTGCTGGGAAGGAAGGAAGGAAGGAAGGAAGGAAGGAAGGAAGGAAGGAAGGAAGGAAG